CCACACTCACACCCTTATCTTAATGATGTCGATGAATATAAAATTTCAATAGTAAAGACAATATTGCTTGTTTCCATCTTTGACTAAATTTTCTAAAATAATTTCATCCAAAATAGATAAAATTGATTCGATCGTAGTTTGATTACAATCTGATGATGTATTCTTTATTTAAGTTGATCATTTGACTGCTTCTTGATGTAAACCAAATTGTATATGATATTATTTTGCTTCGACTATAGAACCTAAAATATGGATATTTATAAAATTGGTGGGTGTTAGTGTGGATGCTGACATAGCCATTCTAATTATTTCAATATAATTTTGTAGAGAAGTAAATTGATTATAGACAGTTGTATATAAACTTGTCAAGTGCTTTCTCTTTTGAATTAGTTATATAAGTTTCAAATTTACGCTCAGCTCAGCTCATCTGCACCCTCAAGATTGAAAAGATTTACTTCACAAAAAATAAAGTCTCTTATATCTAACGACGAATCAAATGAAAGAGACGTATTAGCCTATTGTAAACCACTCCACAATATCATATATTCTACTTACAATTCATCGTTCTTATCTTGACACATTCATCTCGCTTCAATCCCCATGTAGGATTAACAGAATTATTAGAGAAAAAGAAGAGAGTCATCGATAACAGACTGACTTTGTTCGTATTTGTTTTTTTTGTTCTCTCCACTACTCATCAACGACAAAATTTCGTTGTACTTCAATCCACTCCAACAAATCATTACGATTAAAAGGATTTTTATATAAAGCAGAATCGTATGATGGTGTCTTCGTGGTTCATGATGTTTGCTCTTATGTTCAACATTGCAATTACTAATAATTCGAATTGTCCGAATCGACAATCTATAGCAGAATCTCTGCAGAAAGTTCATATTCCAGGTGCTGCAATCATCGTGGTCAATGCGACTCACACACTCTACGAACAAGCATTTGGCTTCCAATCTTTATCACCGAACCAGTTGATGAACATTGACAAATCCATTTTTACTCTTGCTTCGATATCGAAAACATTCATTGCGGCTGCTGCCATGCAACTTGTTGATCTTGATACAGATGTTAACCGATACTTATCGGAGCCTGAGAGACGCATCTTCCATCCAAATTATACTTCTCATTCCATCACTTTACGCAGATTACTTTCGCACTCAGCTTCGATCTATGTCAATCCTCAAGTACGAAATACTTATTATCGACCGAATGATGATGTATTCAATGAATCACTGGCTGAATTCTGTTTCAAATATGTGAACCCAAATACACCGTACTGGTTGCCAAAGCCACCAGGCACTGTGACATCGTATTCAAACGAGGGTACAGCTCTGGCTGCATTGGTTGTTGAACGAATAACAAACATGTCCTATATCGATTATGTCAAACAAAAAGTTTTAGCACCATTGGGCATCGACGTGACGAAAGTTGGTGTTCGTCTGGCTGACTTTGTCAATACAGAAGACTTTGTGAAACATTATGTTTATGCATTGAATTCATCTCATCTCATATGGTGGAATCGACAAATACCACAATTACATATCACACAAATTCCGGTACGTGTGTCAATTTGACCACAAATATTGATTTTGTGCCTTTGGTCTCTAGGGCAATCTTCCCACTTGGCTTCATATTTCACATTTTGGTTTCAGTCCTTATCCTTCTGCTCTCTTACGTATGTCAGCACGTACTTTATCTGTGTATCTTCAGATGTTTCTCAACAATGGATCTAATATTCTTCATTCTCTATCCATTGCTGAAATGCGAATAGTAGTCGGCGGTGGTCTCATATCACCTTACAACCAAGGTTTGGCGAGTAATTCGACCGGGCGACGATTACCATCAGAATTTGGTTTGGCTTGGTATTGGTATACGATGAGTAATGGTCGTCGATATATCGGTCATACTGGTGCGATACCAGGTGTGTTACATTTAATGCTAGTAAATGAAAAGAATAATTTGGGTGTCATTGTTCTTTCGAATGGAGATGCCACTGAGCCAACTGATCTGTCGAAAGAGATTATCGAAACAGTAGAAAGAATTCACATGACACTTTTTGAATGTTTTGATGTCAATCTTGGTCATGCATCCGCCTTTCGAACAAAAAAAACTCTTGTTAAATATTTTTTTGCTATTTTTCTTATTTTTGATACTTTTGTATAGTGCAATTATCGAATTGTCTGCAAACTATTTTTCTTTCATCAAGAGCATCTGGATCGACAATCTGAACTATTTTTTAAAGGACAAACAATTTTTTTTGTACGAAATTCACTTCGAATAATATGTATAGTTGTGTGTTACCGATTGATTCAAATATCATCCATTTTCTCAAAAACTGAAAATAGACAGCTATGGGTATGGATGTGGATGTCGGTCTCCACTACACTAGCATCCGCACCCACCCACACTCATGCGATCAACTTCACCGACCGTTCATTGCAACGATCTGCTCAATGTTTCAAGAAAAAGTTAAGTCATAGCTATTACAGTCAATGAAACCATCTCACGAAGTAGGCTATGGGTTTGAGTTTGATCCTAAGTAAACGTACAGCACATTTACCATTCATATTCACACCTTTTCGATGTGGCTGTGAGTTGATGTTGCATTTAGTGTTGTTTTTATTTACATTCACACCATGAACATTATTTGTTAACTTCTTTTATAAAAAAATAAAAACTTTGAACATGTCTCTATCACCACACAAAAAAAATCAGTTCATTTGATTAAAATACAATGGAAATATTCAATTTTGTTCTTGATAAATACTTATGTTAGAACGGAGATGTGGACATGGATCTGAATCAGGATTTGTTGTACATCTATACTCATGCTCACATCTCACAAGTGAACGAAATAAATCGAACATACTTGTAATTAAGTCTTCAGTTAAAGTAGTTGTCAATTATTTACTATCATGCCTGTTTTTTTTTTCGTTGTTGATAAAACGGAATAATTTTGATTATTTCTTGTTTATGAAGTTGAGAGGATGAGTTAAATAAACGAAAAAAAAGATGAAACACAACCTAATGGAAATATCCAATAGATGACGATAGAATGAAAGTCGTTCTCTTCTGGGTGTGGGTGTGAGTGTGATGAGTGTGACTGTTAATTTCGTGGAGCTACACATCCTACACTCACGCCCACTTTTCAGATGTGTTCACACGCGTGAAATTATTGCATTTTGGACGCGTTCAAACGCATCTTTTGACATAAACGAGTTGTGATGCTGTTAGCATTAGAGCTAGGGAAAACATTTTTGTCCACTGTAAATGCGTTTGGAGACCCAAAAATGTTGCATTCTCGATGTATTCCAACGAATTAATTTGCATAAGTCATAGATACTTAGGGACACGTTCAAGGTCTAAAAAGGGTTACGTAGGTGGATGTGGTTCAAGACAACAACACCTGCACTCACACCGACAGTCACATCCGCCCACACACACCTATACCTCACATCCATACTCATACACATACGATACACTCTCAAGAAAAACTCTACAGATTGTTTCTTGAAATCCGAAAAAGATCTTTATTGTATATTGAACCTGAAAGTGCTGCTTTGTAGAAGTATTTAGGAATTTTATATTTATGATTAAAAACTTGAAAGTATCCTCTATCAGCAACACAAAAACCAGTTCATTTCAGGGAACCATAATGAAGATATACAACTTTCTTTTTGATCAATCACTCTCCAGACATCGCATATATTGATTTATATATTTTAATTCTTTCATCTAGTATCTCAAGAGACTTTAGTGTATTAGAAACGCTTCATTGTAGTTAAATGAAGATTTCTTCGGTTTATTTCAGTAGAATATTGTAAAAATCACAATCATACATTCTTGTACAATTTCAATAATTATATGTCAAACATAAAAACGTTCGACGTCAGACAGTCAGAGTAAGACTGTTTGCTATTGGTAAATAGGCTTTCCAGATTTTGAGGACTTTCTCTTGTTGCTCCAACATTTGTTTTATATATGCATTAATATTAGTCTTAAATTCTTCCATTCGATTTTTCTCAAACACTTCAAATTCTTGCTTGAGTCTCACTGAAATTCGTTCGAAATTCTCCATGTCATTTACAACCTTTTCTTGCAAATTCTGCACTTCTATTTCAGCACGAGATTCCTGGAATAGAAAAATAAGATGTGTTCATTAATTTTTTTTGTAAAATTTATAAAATAGCCCTTCTGATGAGTGAAGATTATCATGATAAATAATTGAACAATAGATGTATGGTCTTTTTCTCAAAGATTCAACGTCTTCTTGCATTATATGGCATATATGTTTTCTACTTCATGTCAACTTTTTTTATTCTATCTCATTTGAAAAAATATATGAGAAACACAATTCTACACATCCTAAATTTAAATCCATCGTCGGTCACACTAAATAGATGTACTATTTATTAGTCCATTATAAATTCCGAAATTCCGTTCGAACAGATTAAATTTGTACAAAGCATTCCAGTCATCGATAAATATATAATTATGAACTCTAGAATTGTTTCCTACCTTTTCAAGGAGTTTCTTTTGAAGCATTTCGGTATTAATTAACCAGGATTTATGGAGTTTTGCCCGTTCATTGAAGGCACACTTCACCAAATCGAGATGTAAGAGGTACTCATTTAGTAGCTCATTCATTAATGAAAACACTTCTTGAGTAAGATCCGAATTGATCTGACCGACTTTCTCTTGAACATTGGCCAGTTCGATGAAAATTGAACTAAGAAGTGAATGATCTTCACATGTAGCTAAAATACTCAGTTGCATGGCAAGTTCGTCAAGTCTTATACTTGACTCTTTTCGCATCTTGTATAAATAATCGAAGTGAAACTTTAACATCCTTAGATCAGCTTGTAGATCAATAATGTACTTCTGAAGAGACAAAGACACTGTTAGTCATAACGAGAAAATACTTCATTTAAGAGAAGAATTTCATTCAAATTCATATATTGAAGAATTTATTCTTAGGATTTTTGTCTTGCATCCGATATGTTGCTGAGGGATGACATACGAAGTGGTGAGAACAGTTTAATAAATGAAAAATTATCAACTGTGCAAAACGCTTCGACTGTACTCTTGATTATTAAAAAACACATGTTTGCCATTGAATAACAAACAAACTTTATGTCCAGTTAAGCATAAAATAGAAAAAACTCATGTCATTTCTTCTTTAATCCTTTCTTCCTTTTTGTGTCTATGGTTGTCAAATTGCCAGAATTTTTTATGTTTCATACTTTTACGTGATATGAAATACATCAAAATCATAATTCGATCTGTAGTTGAGGTTTTCTTCAAATAACTTTTATCATTTTCAAAATTACTATGCTCACCTGTTTTTCATCGAACCAGTCGCCTTTTTGTGTTTTTATTATCGACATAGACAGGAGATTTCGTCAAAGGTTATTTGTCATCTTTGGTAGTTCTTCAGGTAGTTCGATGAACATCAAAAAATCGGAATCACAAACGAGTGTCTTATTTCAAGCGAGACAATTCAAGTAACGTTCAAGCTGAGCTCGTCGTCGCTCAATAATATCTTTCGGTATGCTGCTTGAATCATTTTCGGGTAAGGCTGGAATGATTATGCCTTCAGGAAGATATTTGACGATCAGCTTGCAATGCACTCCAAGAAAATCACTAAAACGACAATTTACTCCAAATTGGACTGCGTTGAATATGGGAAGCGAACTTCTCGTTACTATTCGATAAACCGTAGATGATGACAAATTCTGTAGAAAAGAAAGAAAAAGATTTTTTATTGAAAGGTGACTATTTTGGAAAGAGACGAGAAGATACTTCTTTTGTGTTTTCAATCTGTCTAATACCACCATCTAATAGTTGAGTTACCTTAATAGTATGCTTGAAATGACAAACTGTTATCTCGATGTTGCCTCGTTTGCATTCCGAAGCAGGAGCCACTTGCGTTCTTGATGTTGTTATTTGCATTGGTAGAACTGATCTAAAACAATATGGACAAACAAGATAAAAATTTTATTGGAATGATGCCAATAGATTGAGAAACTTCCAAACCACATGATAAATACAGCAGTTGCACTATAATGGTACGACAAAGTAGGAAACATACTTCTGCATGTTTTCAGTCTGTATTAGATTATTTGTTTATTGAGAATACCAGACTAAAACTCACATGTCCTTGAAACAGATCATACCACACAAGTTTGAGCTCTTGTATGATATAGAAGAATGACTCAAAAAAATCTGTTCTTACCGGTCTTCATTGACGACTCGCGGTTGTTCTTGATCAGCACATACTTGCTATCGAAAAAAAATTCTGTTGTGTTTGTGAAAAGTGTTTGCTAAAGCAGCTTACTGTATGCATGATATATTTATCAAAGTTCACAAGTTCATTACAATATTCACAAGGTATTCTGTCTTCATGAACTTCGAATTTAACTGATGGTGATCGTTCTGTATTGGTCAGAATAAAAGAAAACTCCGATAGAGAACGTTCGAAAGACTTTTTCATTCGTTGTTAAGATCATCGTCTAACGTCTTTCTTCTTGTTTCTCTCGAACAAAACAACTAATTGTATCAATTAGCAATGTACATAGTCGAAATACCAAACGTTTCCTTTCTAAAGAAGATTATTCTGTGTTTCCTAGAGTGAGTATAGTTGCTTCGTGCTCATATCTTTCATTCTATAGGTTTTCGAAAATAAGATGAAAATGTGCTGCACTTCAATGACATATGGCAAAGTATGATGCGTATTGCACATCTTCGTTTAATGTTTGAGCTTGTCTTACTTACTTTTAAACGAAAGAGTAGACATCGGTTGAACTTGAGGTATCTTTCCGATCTCTAAAATGTGTTTGGATGCTCTAAACAAGATACTTTGCATAGTAAATACACAACAAAATGATAATGATCTTACGTCAAATCTGATCCATGAGCTAGACGCATTATTTTACGTCTTAATTCTTTGAATGTCGGTCGTTCAGATGATTCTACTTTCCAACAGTGGACGATAGCCGACCAAAGACCTTCGTCACAGATCGCTGGTCGAGGTAATTGATTGTCACGCAATTTGCAGCGACGGACATTACTATCATCACGCAATGAGGCAAAAGGAAGTGTTCCATAGGAACACGCTTCCCACATTAACACACCCATAGAATACACATCGGATTTTTCTGAATGAAACATTCTATCGCCATTTGTTTGAAGTATTTCTGGTGCAGCGTACCTGACAGGAATAATCGTCATTGCTGCTTGTGATGACCTAGCAGTCACAGAAAAAATATCGTTGTCTTTAGTGAGACCAAAATCAGTCAATTTGACAAGGTTTTCTTCTGGAATAATTGGGTTACATCGGAAGACGAGAACACTTCGACAGGCCAAAGCTCCGTGAACAATCTTATTATCAGCAATGCAAATCATTGCATCAATAATTTGAATAAATATTTCGATGAGAACGTTTCTAATTGGTTTGAAATTGTTTTCTCGTAGCAATTTGACAAGATTACCTTTTTCTGCATATTCCTGCACGAGCATAAGAGAATTTATGTCACTTTCAACAAGACCAAATGTACGAACAATATGCGGATGACAACTGAGTTGGACATAAAACAAAGCTTCACGATTGGTCTTCGCATCATCGATTTTAATTAGAACAATTGGTGGACCTTGTCTACCAACCCATTCAGCTTTGTAGATTGCTTTAGTAAATGTTTGAAACAAGGGTCGTATTTCCGTTTTTCGAACATCGACATCGAGACGAAATTGATATTCTTTCTTCTTGGAAACTGCTGCAAATTCGTCAATCATCTTGCGTACAATATGGTTTGGGCGTAGCGATTCGATTGTCATGGGCTCTCGAGCAATCGGACTTGTTCCATGTTGTTTTAACCAAGCAATAATATCCTTTCGCTCATATGTATGACCATCTTGTCCAATGACGGGATCACAAAAAATATCACATGTAAGAGGACAGTTAAGAGAATCCATATGACGCACGTCTTTTGTAAAAGCAAAGTCTTTGTTGTTTTATATAGCATCATGTGAAGAAACTTGTTAACGTCACTGATAAGAACAGTTATAATTCTCCCAAAGATTAACTCATCAAGAGATAAGTTTTATTTCTAACAGAACAGAGAAAAAAACCATACAGATACAATATATCTGAAAAGTCGCTTTTGTGTGAATATTGCTGTTTATTGTTACGCTCGGAAGCGCTTACATAGAGACGAAATTATGTGTTCGTGTTACAGCATACAAGACTCTGAAGTATGCGTTACAAATTCATCTAATTGAAGGTAGGCTGCCATACCTAACTTTTCATAATGTAGAAAGTAAATAATGAAAGAGAAACTGGGGAAAAAATGGAGTGATACGTAAACAGAAGGGAATATAAGAAAAAAAAATTAAAGGCAAGGTGAAAAGATGAGAAAAGAAAAGAGAAAAAGGGAAAAAAACAAGAGTGAAGCAGGGAGAAGAAGAAAGACACATCTATTTCACATGTGGTGATCTAGTTCACGAAATCAATCCATTTTGGCACCAGAGTCTCGTGTCTATCTTTCAAATTTTTAACTCTTCTCATTCGAAAAAAATGACCAAGGTTATCTTCATTACGCTCTTTGAAATCGTCTCAATAAAATATATCATTATAAAAGAGAGACCTTCCTAAATCAGATTTATGCATTTGCTTTAATCTTTTTTCTATATATTTTTTAACGTAAAAATCGAGAAGATCTTCTTCTATCATCACGAATCAATTATGTTTCGAGGGTGTGGGGTGTGGGCGTGACTCTTCTCATTGACCTACACTCATATCTTTTCAATCCAATCCTCTTGACTTTCGATGTTTATGAAAAACTGATTTCGACAATTCTCAATAGAATTGTATCACTTCGATGAAAAAAAATAACAGTTAAATTAAGTCATCTCTCTCATCATCAATATTTGAGCGTCATTAATTGTCATTTTTCGGCTGAATATTTCGACAATATTTGGTGTCTGTCTAAACTGATCAATTGCAATCTTGAGTGCGGTAATGATTTCGATTTGTCTTTTGTATCAACGATGTAGTCAGAATTAACAATTGTTTTGAAATATATCTTCAAGATCGAAAACAACTGTAGTATGTCCAATACATAATAGAAAGACAAGCAAAGATTTCGAAGAGAAGTTCAACAGATAGTGATTCAAACATGCTGATTGCCATTCTGTGCACATTCTCGGCTGATGCATTTATACATATATATAGTATTTTTTCCGACTGCTTGAATCGATGAGTATTGTTTTTATATTTGTATACTTCCGAATATTATATTGGACTCTACCAGCACGAGTGAGAAAAACAAAAACCATCGATAAAAAGAAAAAGGTAATCAATAATGTAGTTTATTAATATACTGATTGGTAAAAATTTATTATAGGAAAAATCATGGCAAACAGCAAAAGAATAAAAATGTGAACATTGTCATGAAAAAAATTCGGATAGAATAAAAGTTTTTATACGACCATCATGTGTTCTCAGTTGGAGCAGCGGTTTAGGAAGTTCCATTAATTTCTTTGATTGGTGATTTGAATACTGTTGATAATTTTTTTTTCTATTGTAGCTTTACCATTTAGATTGTGCTCTTCAAAAGGATGCATTTTTATACATCGATTGCTCGGATTTAACGCCAACACAAAGAAATAATTTAAAGGAAAAACTGTCTAAATAAAAGTTATTTAATTAAAAGATTTGTTAAACTTAAGTGGTGGAAAAAAGATTTTTATATTACTTTTCTGATATTTCCATATATTACAATAGGAATAGAAGATATTCAATTTGCAAACAATTAACATATGTAAATCGGATAACTTTCCCATAACTTCGTAAGGGTTCTATTATACAATCTGAGAAATAGTTTTTAAAATCTGAACTAATTTTGATTCCTTTTTTTCATATTTGTTATTATGATCAGCTGATTAACTATATTTATCCGAGAGTTTGAAAATGGACCGAAGCTGAGTTAATTTTTCGTAACATTGTATTGAATAGAACTAAATATACAAGATATATTGATAAGCTGACAATTTAAGAAATGATAAAAGCTCGAGATATGGAAATTCAGACAAGTAAGAAGGTTATTTCATCAATCAAACACTCTTTTTTTTCAAACTTCTATTGGCTAATGAATTCAAGTGTTGCCAAGATCCATGAGAATAGATTGTTCCCTACTATCATGTCAACATATGAGGATCCAATGAAATCTCTACTATCGTCTGAGAAAAAGATAAAGAATGTAAAGAGTTGAGCTACTATAGTTACTCAACAATATTCTTACTCCAAGCTAATTTTTAAGGCACAATATAGGTTCGATGAGAAATCGAAAATTTCAGTTATGTATTTATTTTCTTTCTACTGGAATTCCGAACACTGTACAGTTGTCGAATTCAAGCATTCATTTTGAGTGAATGTGAATGCTAAAAAGAACAACACTCAATATCATATTCATTCCTAAAAAGATGCTAACTATTGATCACGCGACATGTTAAGGGTGTGGGTGTGTGGTGTGGGTGTGAGGGTGTGGGTGTGAGGGTGTGGGTATGGGGTGGGTGTGAGGGTGTGGGCGTGGATGTGGGTGAGATGTGGGTGTGGGTGAAGGCGTGGGTGTGGGTGAGATGTGGGTGTGGGTGAAGGTGTGCGTGTGGATTAAGTGGAAATAAGATGAACGTCCACACACTCACCCACACAGACAACGCGCATTCCATTCCGACACCTGCGTCCCATACCGCACACCCACACCCTTTTTCGTCACACCGACCACATTTCGAAATCTAGCACTTCAAAATCGTAGAACTAAAAGGGCTATTATTACACTAGGTCCTACAATGATACATTATCGTGAGGACTCACAATCGTATCAAGAGTTATTCGAATTTCTGCGCCGAGAATTGAACGAATTTGTGTCAAAAAGTTTTGGTAGTGATGGAGCGAAATCAATACTAAAAGCGATGTCTGTTGTTTTTTTCCAAACTCAGTACATCTTGTTTGCGCGCGTCATGTGCATAAAAATATTGAGGGTTACTTGATCAAATCACGTGCGACAATAGATCAACGCCGTGCATTGTTACAGTTTATTTTTGAGTCACCCGAATCGCTTGTTCAATCAAAAGCCGAAGTAGAGTTTGAAGAACGTTTGGATATTTTAAGAGAAGCATCAGATGGTATCGGAAGTGAAGATAATTCTGATGAACATCCATCCAGAAATATTTTTGATTGGTTCTAACGGTATCAATCGGATATTTTTCGAAACCATATGTTGACATCAGTACGTTTGTCGATAAACTACGTGGATGCGAATGGTAATCCTCGACTTTACTACAATAACGATGTTGAAGCAATGAATCATGTGCTAAAAAGTGAAACCAATTGGGAAATAAAGTCGTTATCTGACTTGATTGACATCATCGATAGAATGATAAGAACAAAAAAGAGTGATTTAATTCGATCGTTATACGACGCTGGCGATTGCGAATTAGTTCCTCCTTTTACAAGGTGAGAAACTCTGATCATCAATGCCATGCCTTACATATTGTTGTTTTATAGGTTTCTACATGATCCTCATATATGGTTACTAAAAACAATTCAAGAGCGTAATGTAATTATTGATAATTACTATTCGTTTATTCCCAGAACACAACCTATCATGATTGTCTTCAATATTTCTCATGAGACCGGGGAAAAGCCGGGTCAACGAGGAAGTCGTAGTTCATCTACAAAAACTCGAAAAAAAATCATAAATACTGCCATCGAGATATTAATCAAAACTGAGTTTTTTCATTTCGATCATTTTTTTATATATTTTATCGGATATGAGCAACATTAAACAGCTTCTATATTATGTTTCCAAGGGAGATCTTCTAAAAAAACTGGTGTTCGTAGACGATTATGTATGCCACTGTGCGATGGAAAAAATGGTGGTAGGTATTTATAAACAATGTTTTAATCAAGTGGTTCAAGTTTTGGGTCAAGGTTAGTCAAAATGAGCCCTTATTGCCGTTGGGCTGGTGTTCGTAGATTTCCATCGACATATTGGAAAGGTGTTGGTAGAAAAATTGCGACTTGTACCATTCGAATTGACTTTCGGAGCTGTTCAAAGTTGGTATTCGTAGGTGTTAGTGGACACAACTCTCTGAATTCTATCTACCTATATCACTAGATATATGCTATCTTTCCTTTCGAGGTGTTCGTAGGTGTTCGCGTAGTTTACAGATACCCAAAAGAGAATTTTTTGTTCTGTACCTATCTAAAGAAAAGATTTGATTCATATCTAGATGCAACAGATTTGTCGAAAATAATAATCAAGTTCAATTCGAGTCCGATTGTGGAAAAGAGAAAGACACACTTCCATAGTGGATTGAAAGAATGAGACTTTGTATTGAGCATCATAGTGGCTACTTCGAACATTTGCTATAAAAAGTTCCACTTGTTGACTTTTTCTATCAATAAAATTATTTGATTGTCAGAACTTTTGGATCTCTTATTTATATTTTTTGCCTCAATCGTTGGATACTTTTTCTGTTGAGCAATATTTAATACTGTTCAGTATTATACAACGATACGAAAGATTCATCTGAGATGGTACAAAAGTACTTGAGAACAACTCCACAGAATTTCTGTTAACTGCCTAGTTCTATCACCAAGCAAAATCAAAAGTAAAACAACTTACTCAAAACCAAAGTGCACAAAAAGTATGATTCAGATATGGTTGTATTTCAAACAAATTTTATATAGAATGATTAATACCAAAAAAATTTACCAAAAAGAAACTAATAAAAAGTAAAATGTACACAAACTGTTAACAATATGGATATATATGTTCCAAGGTTCTTTTTACCACTTCAATTCGTCACCAAGGTTGCATTTGTCTATCGTTACGCCAATGCAGGTGAAACTTCTGCTCCTTTTCTTGCGTTTTTACTTCCAAACAAATTTCTAATTTTCCATTTAAACA